TCCAAGTCCTGTGCCAGCTCTTGCAGGCTCTCCCCTTTAGCACGGACTCTCGTCCTGAACCTGGCCCTGTAGACTTCTGACTGATTTTGGGTTCTGTACTTGAGTTCTAAAGCCACTATCAGTGCTCTATGGTTGTGCCTGTCGTCTGCTGACAACTGTCCAAGTATTTCCAGTGGTTGTCCCTTGAAGCTCGTTGCCAGATATACTGCTTTCTGCCCCTCTGTCCACCCATTCATTTCTGCCAGGAGCTCAAAATTGTGCTCTATATGCTTCCCATGGTGCCTTCCCATCAAATTCCTGTGGCTTCCTTCATACTGGATCACTCTTATTACTAACATTCATATCTGGGACGTGACTTCTAACAGGATTGAATATGTCTGCATTAGGGTTTAGCTGCGGGCTCTGTAAGGGGCTTGCCATTGTCTGGGGCTGATTTAGTCGATGGTCAATGTATCCTCCTTGTGTAAAAGACAATAGATCGTCCTTTAACATATCTAATTCGCCTTTAAATTTACTAATGTTTTCCATTTGTACTTCTTGTTTCCTTTCTTGTTCCAGTTGCCAATGCTGTAGTCTCTCTTCTTGTTTCTTTTATCGTTCTTCTTGTTTATTTTGTTGTTCGAGCTGCCACTGTTGCAGGTTTTCTTGCCACTGCTGTAATCTTTCTTCTTGTTTCTTTTCTCGTTCTTCTTGTTTCTTTTCTTTTTCCTCCAACAACTGCTGTAATCTCTCTTGTTTATTTTGCTGTTCGAGCTGCCATTGTTGCAGGTCTTCTTGCAACTGCTGTTGTCTCTCTTTTTGTTTCTTTTGCTGTTCTTGTATTGCTGCCATCAAATCTACTAAGCTGTAGTTTAATTTTCCGCCTCTCGTTTCCATCTTCTTCTTCTTCTTCTTTTTTTTTATCCCACTTCTGACACCAGTTTGTTACGTCTCTGTATGTTTGTTTGTTAATTCTTCAAAGATACAAGTCCTTTCTTTATAAAACTTGTTTATTCTTCCCCAATACAACTTGTAATACACTTAATTTTCAGTTACACACACTATAGTTCACAACAATTCACTCACTTTCTATCTCTCTTAGACTTAATTGTTCGTCCCTGCCAACTATAGTTCCGATCTCTGTGTCTGTTATCCTCAGTTCCCGCTGTCTTTCTTTCTTTCTGCCTGCTTCCGTCTGTCTCCACTACTGCTTCGACTCCATCTGTCTCTCTCACTGTCTAGCGCACTTATATACGATAATACTGCCTGTTCTAGAGACTCTCAACACGTGCTACCAGCGTCAATTGACTCCTGCTGTCGCAACACACAATAGCGAATCTTCTAGAATATTCGTCACGTGACCCCGCTGTCGTAACACACAAGCGAATATTCTAGAATACTCGTCACGTGACCTCCACTGTCATAACAATACCATCTGTCTCTAAGTCTATCTGCTTACAGATGTAAAATGAGTGTTTTAACTCTATATTCCCTACTTTCATCTGCACACTATATCAACCTAATGTTTTACTTGTATCTTCAGTTGTGGACTGTCCAAGGCATCTACAAACTGATCCCTCAGCAACAACTTGAGGAGATCAGGTGGTGCAGTTGGGTAGGCCTTGTGTGCCATACTTTCCAAATCCTATGCCAGATCTTTTAGGCTCTCCCCTTTAGCACGGACTCTCGTCCTAAACCTAGCCCTGTAGAGCTCAGGCTGTATTTTGGGTTCCTATACCTGAGTTCTATAGCAGCC